GTAAGTCCTTCCCTTTTTTTTCTGAGATTTTTCTTGGGGAGAAAAAGAAAAAGAATCTCTTGTTATTTCTTTGTCTTTTTTTTTCTTTTTCTTTTTTTATTTTCTTTTTTTTTTTTTTTTTTTGACTTCGATCGTTCAAATATATTTTCATTTCTCTAAAGAAATCATTCGACTCAGATACGAATAGTTTTTACATTTAAACGATGTACTCGTTTTGACGATGGTATATATATATATATTTTTTTTTCTTTTTATCCATTAAATTAATACTTATCGATAATCGTTAAATTTCTTTTTTTTTCCTCTCTATCTCGATATTGATTAAAAAAAAAGAAAAAAAATAGAAATTTACAATGCGCTATTTCACATAATCGATGAAGACGATGTACTGATTTTTAACGACGTAAATGTACATTTCTCATATAATTAATTTTTACGATTAACACTTATTACGATAATATTACTTTCTTATACATAATGTTAGATCTTTTTTTTTTTTGTATTTGTAAAAAGAAGGTAGCAATTTGTAACATTCCTTTAGAAACGATTTATTAAAATATGTCCGAGATCGTTTCAAATAATTAAATTATTTCGATGAAATTTGAAATGACAATTAAGAATTTTAATAACGAATAAAAAAATAGATCTCTTTGACGTATCGTACGTATCGTTTGGAAGAAAAAAAAATTTGAAAAAGTTGGAAATAATTTCATTTAATGAAAAAAAAAAAAAAAAAACAAGAAGAAAGAAAAAAGGAAAAAGAATGAAGAAGGAAAAGAATTCGTCGTAAGACGCCATAGATAAAATAAAAATAAAAAACGTAAAGGGGAACGAAAATAAAAATAAAATAAAAAGAAAAAAAGAAAAAAAAAGGAAAAAAAAAGAAAAAGGAGAAAGAAAAGTCATTAAAAGCAAATGCACACGTAGATCTAAGAATTTTATTAAATGTAAGAACAATTTGGATTCGTATAATATACTTAACGATTCGATCGAAAGTGGAATCTTCAATATTTCTTCGAAATAATAACGGAAGCGGAAGAAAGAGAAGGAACTTGCTTTCACGCTTAACTCGTATGATTTATTTTCACAATCAGAAGCCAAAAATGTTGGTGGCGCCGTTCCACTCCTTAAGAACATCCACCACTAAGCGTTGTTCCGCGGGATCGAAAACCGGACGTACCAAATTACTAAGGAATACGACGAATTGGTTCATTCGCTTTTTGGCAAAACATTTTGCCATTTTCTAACGACGATGTGATGCCAATTCTATGTAAATTCTATATACATACATATATGTATATATATATGCATGTATGTATGATGCATGCATGTATGTAAATTAAACGTGGCATTTATAGTTACGTATATTTGCCGATTAAAATTCGACATTATCAATGTTCTCAGTTTTGAAGGATATTAGTGTAGTACGTAAGTCAGTGTACTACGTGATCTAGTAGGTTATACGAGCAGGTAGTATATAAACAAATGAAACGAAAGAGAAACATTTCATTTGTTAGCTATCGACGTCTTAAAGGATCGATCGGTCACGTTTCAAACGTTTACTATTATCAAATATATTTATTGAATAATTTATTTATTTGATAGGGATAATAATACGTTTATAAAATAATATAATAGAAATTGTTATATTAGGGTGGATATATATATATATATATATATAAAGTTAAAATTTTATTTAAAGTAATGATTATAAAAGAGTAATATATATTTTAATTATTAATATGATTATATATATACATATGTATAAATATGAGCATATATATATATATATATATATATATATTATTAATATTAATATGTCATTTTTAATTATATAATACTTAAATAATAAATATAATAATGATAATAAATTTATATATTATTAATTAATATATTACATATATATATATATAATAATAAGAATAATGGAATAGTTCGAAGTTTGAGTTTGTCGTAAATTTGTGATTAGAACAATCGGATCGGTGAATAATATTTGTGGAATCCAATCCAATGGTCGGAATCCAATTTTCTATCGTAATAACGGGAAGCCAAGAGAATATTTTCAATGGGAGGACAGAATGATCGAGTTAACCCTCGATCATTCTCATCCTTTCTCTCCTTTCCCCGCAAGCCAGCTTAGGAATGCTTCTCTTTTGTTTAGAGCGGGAAAATTGAATTTATTCACTTCGACTTCGACACACTCTCAGCAGCGGTCGGCTTGGTTTCGATTTTGCCGTAGTGTCTGACCTTAGGCGCGGTGAGATCGATAGTCACTACTGTATAATTTATCATAGTCATAGTTTAAAAGAGAGAGAGAGAGAGAGAGAGAGAGAGAGATAGAGAGAGAGAGAGAGAGAGAGAGAGACAGAGGCAGGTCTCTTGCCTTACCTTACTCATTTGATTCGATTTCTCTGACCACAGCTTGAAACCTAAGGAACTTTACGTCAGTATTATTTATTTCAATATTTTTTAATTTATTTTTTACAAAATTTAATTCTCCTCATTCAATATTTGCTCTTATATCGATTTATTTTTCTTACAATTTCTATTTAAATAATATTTAATTGTCTGCCCATTTATTTCTATTTTTACCTTACCCATTTACATAAATTATTGTATTTACATTCTTTCATTTTCTTTTTGTTCTTTTTCGAATTTATCTTCAAACACCATTTAATCGTATCATTCGACAAATACATTATAAATTTTGATTTTACTTTTGAGAAAGTTAATTTGATGTATTTGAAGGTATTTAAAGAAAAAAAAAAAAAAAAAAAAAAAAAAAGAGGAAAGAAAGAAAACTATTGAAAGAAATTCTTATTCGCTTTAGTCAATAAGAATACAATTTTATTTGTCAATTATCGAACTCGTTGAAAGATATAATCGAAAAGAAATATCTTTCTTTTCTATCGTCATGATAAACGATTTAAGTTGATAATGGTTAAAGAGAAAAGGATGTCCTGCATTATGATCCTTCAGTGGTTTCATCTTCCCGTCGTGTACATATCTATCGGCATATTATATCGATTCGTTTTGACCGAGTTGAAAAAAGTTATAAACGGGAGAAATTATGTATGAAATCACGACGAGGGACATAAACGAGAATAAAAAAGTTCCGGTGTTTAGAAATAATGACGGCCGTACGTACATATATACATGTATATATATATATATATATACGAATAATAACAAATTAAAATGTAAGAATTATCATCAATGATTCGATCTATCAATTCGATCCAATTTTCCGAAAGAAATGAGTGCGAGAAATTTTCTTAAAATTTAAAAAAAAAAAAAAAAGAAATTCTCTAAAACACTCATAGTCCATTTTAAGTTTCATTCATTTCATTTCAAACGTTACTAAATATCCAAACAGTTTTGGGACACATTGTATGCACACAATAGAACATATATATATCTGTTTACATATTAAACACAAAAGAGATGCAGAGCATGTTTCATGTGCATCGAGGTACAAAGAAAGAAAGAAAGAAAGAAAGAAAAAAAGAGAAAAAAGAATAGGAACAAAGAGAAAAAAAAGAAAGAGAAAGAGAGAGATAGAGAGAGAAAGAGAGAGAGAGAGAGAGAGAGAGAGAGAGAAATAGAAATAGAAAAAGAGTAACGATTGGGGAAACTCTTTTCATCGGCTCGTAGTTATCGATTGCGTAATCTTTGATCGCATAATAGAGAAAGAGAAAGAAATAGAAAGATACGCATCGAGTGTACGAGAGATAAAGAGAGATATAGCACATAGACACATAGAAAAGAAAAAAGGGATAGAGTAATGTGGCTCGAGTGTGGTATCGAGTAAAAGGAAAGAGAAGAAAAAAGAGTGGCATCCAACGAGTTCGAAAGGGGCCGAACGTGCGAAACGAGCTGATTGAAAGGCGCTAAACGAACTACTACTACTCTTCATTTCCGACCACCTGCAGGCACCTTCGGGCGGTAACATCAAAACGATGCGGAGCGCGTGTTAAGTCGATGGCGCCTTCTCTTAAAACAACAAACTCATTCTCCGTGCTTTCCTCTTCTCACTCTCTCTCTTTCTCTCTCTCTCTCTTTTTCAGCTCTCTCTTACTCTTTCTCTTTCACTCTCACGATCTCTATCATTTTCTCTAAGTCACTCTCTGTCTCTCTCTCTCTCTCTCTTTCTCTCTCTCTCTCTCTCTCTCTCTCTCTCTTTAAATCGTTCTCTTTCTCTCTTTCTTTCTCAATCTCGGTATCTCTCTCACTCTTTCTTTCTTTCTTTCTTTCTTTCTCTCTCTCTCTCTCTCTCTCTCTCTCTCTCTCTCTCTCTCTCTCTCTATCTCTCCCTCTCTTGGTTCTTCGTGACGTTGATGGCCACTTGACTTTCCAAAGTAAAGCACATCGAGCTTCCCGGAGCGCCAATAAATGTATTCCTATTGCCTACTATTCGCATAACTCTTCAACCAGATCTTTACTTTTGAATGAGAAGGAAATTTATTTATTATATTGTATATATATGTATATATATATATATATATATATATATATGTATTTTTCTGTTGTTTTTCTTACTTCTTTGTTTTTTTTTTTCGCTTTGTTTTTTTTTTTTTTTTTATTTCTTGTTCCTCCCGCGAGTTCTCAAGTCTCAGTGTTTTCTCGTGACTTTTTCTTTTCTTTTCCCTTTTTTTGTTTTCTTTCGTTTCCTTTCGTTTTTTCTTTTTCCTCGTTTTTCTTTTTTCTTCTTCGAACAGTGATAACAAGTGAATGGAAACGTCGATAAAACGAGTGTACACGTCGTATCGTTGGAATTTGTGTTAATATGTGGTGGTACGTACGTACGTATGTATATTGGTTTACAATTTTCTTCATTTTTCTTTTTTTTGCCTTTTTTTTTTCCTTTTTAACGTTGTCGAAGAACGAAACAGAAATATAGATTTAATTAACAATATCCTTTGGTATAATATTTGTAATGAACATTTTAAATTAATCTTTAACAATTAGTTATAATCTTTTTCTTTTTCTTTTTCATTTTC